CCCTCACCCAACTGGGCTGGGCCCATGGCTCCAGCCTGGCCAGGTCCCCTCCCCCCCAGCAGACCCACACTCCCCCCCAGCTCGGTGCCATCTGCAAACTGGCTGGGGGTGCCCTCAATCCCCTCGCCCAGGTCATGGATAAAGATGTTAAACAGAGCTGGGGCCAGCGCTGAGCCCTGGGGGACACCGCTTGGGACCGGCCACCAGCTGGGTTGAACTCCATTGAGCACAACTCTCAGGGCTCGGCCATCCAGGCAGTTTTTAACCCAGTGAATGCCATCGTCCGATGAAGAGATCAGTGAATGAGACCGTCAACATAAGGCCTTCCCAACACAAGACCTTCTTCTGCCTTGCTGGCACAGGGAGCCGCAATGCTGGAGGCTGACCTCTTCCCACCGCCGTCCCACTTTGTGCCTCCTCATCAGCCAGCCTGGCCTTGAGCTGCCTAAACCACCCGCTGCCTTCAAGACCTGACGGAAAGGCATCTAATCCTGCACGTGAAACTCAGGGACGCCTGGGAGTAAACACTCTCGTATTGAGCTTCCCTCTTCAGTTTGCTCTGCGTTAAGGATTTGGCTTCTTGAGAAATTTCTGTTTGTCCCCACCTTTCCTTACTCTTAGTCTGTTTGGTTACAATAGGAAAAGGTTTCCACTTCCACCCTCCAGTGCCCAGGATCAGAGACACAAACCGGCTTCTCATGGCAGCCACAAACATCTCAAGAAGAACAGGGCTTAAAAATACAGCCCGGTTCACCGCAGTAGCATTCTGCAGTGAGAGGGACAACGTATGAATTCGTGCTGGCATGGTCCTGGAATCCCTCATCCTCTACACCCTGATGCCAGCAAAGGATGGCAAGCCTGCGCTGTTCAGCATTTCATAGAATCATAGAATGTTTTGGGTTGGAAGGGACCCCTAGAGGTCATCTAGTTCAACCCTCCAGATTTCCTCTGATCATTAGCTCTTCGCACTAAGGGAAGCATTGCCCATCTTCTTCAGTCGGACAGTTGGAGTTTGGGCTCGTCTCGGGCTGGCTGTGCGAACGACCTGGATAAAGAGCTGCAGAAAGCGCAAAGCCCCGTGAAAAGGTGGTTATTCCAATACAAGGCAGGAAAGGCAAAAAGTCAAAAGACTGTTGTGTGCCACCCCCCTGGTTTAAACCTGAACAGAATTGGCATCTGTAGGACAACGGTGTAAAATTAATACCCCTGGTTCCTCCTGGTAACGCACCTTTTGTCACAGAAACCTTGCAGAACAGCCATATAATACTCCAAGTTACACCGTAATTTCCTGGCATCCACTCACCGGGACGCAGTCGCCCAGGCCTAGCTGGCCAGCTCTCTGCCCCAACAAGCCCGGACACCACCACCATTACTTCTGCGGATCTCAAGCAGCGGCAGCAATAACCAACACTGGTCCGTTCCCACAGGGACAAGCTTGTCCACTTTTATTTATTTACACACAGAGCAGCCTTTTATTTTTATATAAACTGAACAAAGAAAAACAAACTTCCCAAATCCGAAATGTAAATATTTTCAAGTATACATTTGGTTAAAAACATACAAACACAACTTGAGATGAGAACCAAATAGATCTGGAGTTCACCATCACAAGGAAGAGGCTCTCCCCGCAGCGAGCCGCTCTCCCTGACCGTACGGACACTGGGATCAGCAGGCCCTGCACATGCAGCACACTGAAAATGTCACATCGTTCGCTCCCTGTACAGCTCCCTCTTTTTTGGCCTCGACTACTGAAAACCAATCAAGTTCAGAAATCTGTAACTCCGAGCAGAATGCTCTTTGCTTGCAACGTTGATACGAGCGTACCAAAGGCACTCTGGAGATACCGATTATTCTGCTTGCGAAGTTTTGAAGAAAGAGCAAGAGGTTTGGGGGCTTTTTTAGACAAGTTCAGTGTTAAACCACTGAAAATAAAGAAACAAGCTTCTGAAAATTCACTACAAATAGCAAAACGCTGTGAAATGTTTCACAGCACCTGACAGCCGCCTTCCCGAGAGTGGAAAGGTTACAGCCACCTCGCACCAGAGCACTTCCAACACCAAGATCTCCCTCATTCAGTTTTCTTCGTATAGGACAGAAAACAAACACCTACTTGAAGCGGACCTTCTCATCCATATCCACGGGGGGCTCATGTGTGATGAGGTTGACCAGCTCCTCCATGCAGTGCTGCTGGCAAAGGAAGTCCAGCAGCTTGCGGTTCTGCGCCTTGCACTCCTGTAAGATGTCATCTTCATCCATCAGCTCGTGAAGTGTCACATCTTCTTTATCCAGCAGCTTGTCCACATGCGATGTTGTGTTCAAATCGAACTTCCAGAACATGTTGATGGGACACAACTAGCTGTAATGCAAAAGAGCGTGAGTTAAACTTCCACCCTCGCTATTTTTGACTACTTTATAATCTGAGCAGATACCTTAATTCAGCTGCCAGGCAGCTCGCAAAAATCAGTTAAATTCTGTAAACAAAATTAACAACTCTTTGTACCAGAATCATAGAAACATCACAGAATGTTTTGGGTGGGAAGGGACCCCCAGAGGTCACCCAGCCCAACCCCCCTGCAGGAGCAGGGACACCTTGAACCACATCAGGTTGCTCACAGCCCCGGCCAACCTGGCCTGGAATGGTCCCAGGGATGGGGCCTCCACCCCCTCTCGGGGCAACCCCTGCCAGGCTTTCACCACCCTCACTGCAAAGAATTTCTTCCTTAGATCCAGCCTAAACCTCCCCTGCTTCAGTTTAAAGCCATCCCCCCTTGTCCTGTCCCAGCTGGCCCTACTAAAAAGCTTGTCCCCCCCTTTCCTCTGGGCCCCCTTGAAGCCCTGAGCGGCCGCACTCAGCTCTGCCCGCAGCCTTCTCTTCTCCAGGCTGAACACCCCCAACTCTCCCAGCCTGGCCTCAGAGCAGAGGGGCTCCAGCCCTCGGATCATTTTAGTAGCCCCTCGGATCATTTCAGTAGCCCTCCTCTGGCCCCGCTCCAACAGCTCCATGTCCTCCTTGTGCTGAGGGCTCCCGAGCTGGACGCAGGGCTCCAGGGGAGGTCTCCCCAGAGCAGAGCAGAGGGGCACAATCCCCTCCCTCGACGCTGGCCACGCTTCTCCTGATGCAGCCCAGGGTAGGGTTGGCTTCTGGGCTGCCAGCGCCCATGGCCGGCTCATGGCCAGCTTTTCACCCACCAGTGCCCCCAAGTCCCTCTGGGCAGGGCTGCTCTCCATCCTTTCTGTTCGAAAACTAACACGACCTAGATTATAGCTGTATGATATGAGACACACTACATGCATGAATTAACTTGAACTGCAAGTAGCTTGACGTAAAAATCAAAGATCACGTCCCTAGACAGAAATGCTGGGCTGGGTTACAGTCTGGGCTGGTCACAGGCAGGGAAGCCACGCTGCTGCACTGTGAGCAGTTTGCATTAAAGGGTTTGGGGTTCTTTCCAGGATTTGTATGAGAGTCATGCTTATCAGCCAACACTGCACCAATCAATGACTTATGGAAGTGGAAGAAAGGCCTCTGATGTATACATAACAGCAAGAGATAGCAAGAGTATTAAAAACCAAAAACCCTACTGGGCACTGCGAGCGGTACCACCAGCGGCAAACCTAGAGCTGAACTGCCAATAAATATAAACCTTAGGGATCACTGGGATATGCTATTAACCTCGTCGACATCACAGATGTAAAACTGTGAGCGGCCTTTTCTGAGGCAGTAGAGTGTGTTTTGGGGTTCCACATATGGAAGTGCGTGAGGGCTGCGGCTCCAGAGCTGGCGCCGGGGGGACGCAGAACGGACCCAGAGCCGCTCCAGAAGCTGAGCACGCCCTATCAGGAATGTATGGAGCAGTTCAGTGGATGGCACCATTTGTAGAAAGTTCCAAAATTCTGAACTCTAACCTTACTGGGGGGGGGAAGCACAGCTTAGAAGCTAGTGGTGTGTATTATCACCTAAAGGGTGTGGGGCTGGGCAGCTAAAAGTTGGTCTGTAAAATAACACCCAAATTCTACTCTTGGCCATTCTAAACCAGACAATACTCAACCACCCCCAGGCGCTCGCCTCTTCTCCAGGGTCCGCACATTTTACTTTACAGGGATTGGGACTTAGAGGTGTTCACCAGCAAGGGAAACGGCCAAAGGATATTATAAATCAAAGCTACAGACCGAGGGAAGGGCCTCCTTTTCCTACCGATTCTGGCTCTCAAGTCCTTGGAGGTACTGGCTGAAAGCAAACCCTCCTCACCATCACCTTCCTTCACAGGAAATTTTGCATGGACATTTTATATCACTCCAACTGAATTAAAAAAAAATTTTCATATGGTTCCGTGCCAAAGTGGTGAAGTGAGATCCTGCATGTAACAAAGAATGACGAGCTATTAGAGACGGATTTGAGCTGGAGCCTGGTCCCACAAAGCCACAGTAAGTTACCCTTCCGAAACGGCGATCAGACCCTGCCCCAGCTGCGAGTTTGCCCCCTCCCAGTCCCCCAGCAGTGCTCGAGGACCCCTCGCCCGAGCGGGTTCCCCCAAACCACGCAATGGCTCGGATCGTCCCCTCCAATGTCCCCACTCCGTACCTGCTCCATAGGGGTCTTGGTCGTGACCCAGGTGAGGTTTCACTACCGCCATGCAGGTTTGTAAGAATATTCCCCTTCAAACAAATATAGAGCGCTGCACTTCGTATTCCTCATCTTCCTCCTACACCCAACGCTTCCTTTCCTTTTTTGTTACCCTGGTTTTTCTCTTTTTCCAGTTAGCTTCCCCAATGCACTCTGACTTCTGGAACAGTCATTAATTCCATCCAAATAAGCCAGTGTTGAGACTATCCCTAAGAAACTGCTCCAGCAGTCTTCCTCTTGCTTAATATTTTCTCTTATAATCGCACCCTTTACCACCTCACCTCAGAATCTGGCTAATTCATGACTCGTCGACGAGCCATGACCTTTCACAATCCTGCTCCGGCTCTTGGACCAAATATCTTCATGATCTCCAGAAAGAAACAAGATTGACGGCATTTCTTTTATTTAGAGTATCAGCTCCAAAGACAGAGCTCAGATGAGCTTGGCACAATTTAAATGACTGATTTTAATTTCATTTTTCACTACCGTCTCTTTTACTGTTCCCTACAGGGACCAAAGAAGGAGCAATCTGAATTCCTCCCCAGGAACGCTTTCAGCACCTGCAGAGAGTACACGGTGGCTCCGGCTCCTCGCCAGCAGACGCCTGCACTTCGAAAAGCAGCTAAGCCATTTAACCAGCCGAGAATCTGAGCACAGCCTTGCATTTCTGGCCCCCCTCCAGCATCTCAGACTGAATTCCTCCCCAGACACGGGCTCATCCTCACTCAAACCCCGGGGCTCTGCTCCGCGTGCAGGAGCCTACCGAAAGGGGAAGCAGAGCTTCTGCAGGAGGGAGCCCTGGGCAGGGAGAGCCGTCGGACGCCCGGGGTGCACGCCGCGCAGGCCATCGGGTGCAGTGAGACCACGAAGAGGTGGCACCGCGCCGTCGGCTACGGGGATCAAAGACGGTTTCAAGAAATAAATAATCATTACCGTTGAAGAAAGCAGGAGAGGAACCATTATTCCCCATTGACAAAGGTGGTAAGCGTAGCTCAGACAAGATAAACGTCCCATGTAATAACATCAGGAAGCTAAAGGGCATTTTATAAAACGGATGAGAGCTGCCAATGTGCGACATTCCCAGATCACTTGTGCCCGAGCATGTGATGTTATACAGCAGGATCACCACGCTGTTTTTAACCTAACCCACGTTACTATTTCCGCAGCAGCAGGAACACTCACTCCAACCATTCATTTTGCTTTTTCCAGCATCCAAAAACGTTACCACGCCTGATCTTTTGCCAGTCCCGCTGCTTGCATAACTACAGCTGAGACACAATTTGGAAATGATCCTTTTTAAAAAACAATCAGACCCCCCCTTTTTTCCTCCAGGAAGGTGTATTTTAAGAAGGGGGCACTGCTTTCCAGTTGCCACAGCTGGGCCGTTTAAAAGGTTATTAAAGACCCCCATTTTTTAATTACAGGTTTGAATATCAGGGTCCCTTGCAGTACATCTTCACACTGAACCTCCAACCGAAGGGCTTAGAGGAGCTACGAAATGCAACGCGTGAAAAGAAACACCAATTTCTTATGGATTAGCCAATGAAGCTGCTGCCCTGCCACCGTGCAAGGGCTCTTCACGTGGGTGCAGACGAGTCTGAGGATCTCTAAAAGGAAAAGGATTACCTTACAAAATTAAGGCTATTTTTTTCTTGCAATACCCCTGTTACCCAGGGTGTTTGATAACAAACTCCAGAGCTCCACTCAGTGCTTCAAGATTTGTCACAGATAACTTTGCTATTTCACAGAGCTTTTTTCCACGTCAACATAACTCTTTCCTTTAACGTCTGTATCTGAGAGAGTTAGAAGAGATCAAGAAAATCTTTGTGAGTTTGTCCCTTGTGACGCAGCGCTGCCGATGCGTCCAAGCCCTGTTTGAACGGGCCGGTGTTGAGGACTCCATTCTAAAGGGAACACTTAAGTGACGAACGATGGAGCCACCCAACGCGCAGCCTCCTTACAGCTTGGTCTTCCCGGTGTCCTCCTGGACGCCGCATTTACCCGCCGGCTTTGGACCTTCAGTGTTTTGAGGCAGAGCTCACATACACCTTACGGGGAAGCACATGGCCTCAAGCCCAGCAGGAACCCAACCACAATCCTGCTCAAGCATCACACAAAGACGGCTTCATACCTACAGCGTTCCCTTTAAACGTCAGGCGCCAGCCACTTCTAGTCTAACCTACAGCATCACATTTAGCCAGACTCTTCCCGGGGGTGCCCAGCGCCAGGACAAGGGGCCATGGGCACAACCTGAAGCAGAAGAGGTTCCAGGTGAACGGGAGGAAGAACTTGTTGACTGTGAGGGTGCCCGAGCCCTGGCCCAGGCTGCCCAGGGGGGCTGTGGAGTCTCCTTCTCTGGAGATCTTCAACCCCCGCCTGGACGCTGTCCTGTGCCCCCTGCTCTGGGTGAGCCTGCTTGGGCAGGGGGGTGGCACTGGGTGAGCTCCCGAGGGCCCTGCCAGCCCCGGCCAGTCTGGGATTCTGGGATTCTGTGTTTCTTGTAACTCTCCCTGTGAACACCAAGGCTGTAACAGGCTTTCCTCGTGGTGGGCCCAAGCTCAGCGTTACGGGGAGGGAAGCAGGGGGAAGCTGCCCAAAACAACCGCTTACCCAGAGCACGGCCCACCCACTGCCACCTCCCAGCAATCTGCCGAACTGCCAGATCAGTTTGCTTAGGCTGATCCCAGTCTTTTGGGAACCACTCCCTCCTCAAAAAATAGCACAAAATATGG